AGGTATCCAGCATTTGGGATCAGTCTGTTTCACAGCAAACAACTACTTAGAAGATTCCATAATTCAGTGGAAGTAGGTGATAATCAAATTAAGTTACAGAGGGAGAATTATATGAATGATAATAAGTCACCTTAGTCATCAAACTTTAGGTACAATAATAAATCTAATATCTACTTTATCATAAATTCATAAATGAAGTATCTTAGCTTCAGTCTCCCACAGATGCCAAGGAAATAAGGAAATAAAGTTCAAATCCTTTGCTGATTGCAGTCCTCTCGGGAGATTCTGAAGGAACGTTTAGAAATTCTGATATTAGTCATTAGATCTTTCACTGTTGGAAAGCATCCAGCATGTCACTGGAAAACATGCAAGAATGCTTCTTCAGTCAGGCCATTCTTACAAATCTGCAGTACTTTTAGATTGATGACACTAAAATGTTGCTGACACACTGTGTAACAGGACAAGGTATGTCATATTCAAGGTACTCTGGGACACTGCTCTCTTAAGATTAAGTGTTTAAGTAGAAATGCAGTCCAAAACATAGAAAATATTAAGGAACTATTAACATAGCAAACAGAGCTTGCATAAATTAAGAACTTATATAATCTCTAGTTACATTCCTCTTCCTCTTGTCTTTTTGAGCTGTGATGAGATGAAATCTGGTTTTTTGTCTTAGGAACTAGCAGGTCTTTTCCATTTACAGAAAGAGTTCTACTGACAAGATACAAACTTGAAACCAACCTGACAAAACTTCTTACTTAAGGAGACTCCATATTTGCCAAATATAGGATAGCTGGAGATTATTCTAAAGATTTCCTTTTGAAAATGGACTCTTGCACCTATATTTTTGTGATACTAATATCAACAACATGATTGAATGGAAAGAGAGACAAATTTGACCACAAGTAGTGAATGGTGGTTTTGATTTCTGATTTCATTTTACAAGGATTTTTTTGCTGACTGAAAAGGACTTTGTGAATCTCTCACTGATTCTCCTTTTCAAGTTGCATTGCAAAACTGGAGGAAGCTACATGAAACAAAGAAATCCACTTTCACCATTCAGTTACACCTGCCATAAAAATGACAGGTTCAGAAGTGCCATTACTGAGAAATGTAGCTACCCTGCAAAAAGAAACATGGATATCCAATGACATCATGATAAACAACTGTATAAGACTTGATTTAATGGCATATTTTAATATGGCTCCTTTTATTCCCCATTCTGTTAGGCTTAGCTTACCATATAACTCAGCTCCTCTAGTCCTGAAGGTAAACATCATTATTAGCCTAACACTGGTAATACCAGATTTGCCTCCCTGATCAAAGTGCTAGTATTTGGGACATTTTTCTACAGATGAAGCACAAAAAAAACATTACACTAGATCTCATGTTGGTGATAATTAATTGCTCTGTCTGGAATTAATGAAGAAGCTTAGACCTTCATTGAATGGGCATAGAATGGTTTCAGTGGCCTCTTTTAAGGTCCTTATGGGTCTTAATAAAATTCAGAGCACCTCTTTTGCGCTAAGCTTCCTGAGAGAGGTAATTTACCTTTCACTTGTTTAGAAAGCATAACTGATTTTATATACTTTTTCTTCTTGTATCCTTTTGGTTGAAAAAGAACATATCTTTCACCTATATTTAGAAAAAAAACAAAAACCCAAACAAAAACCCAAAATAATGTACTTAAAGTCTTCAATAAAAACTTTAAAATAATTTTTCCTTTAAAATAATTGTTATGTTCCAACAGCAAATGTACAGTTTCAGCTGTTGGTAACTGCAATGATATCAACACAGTCTGACAACAATTCTGTGGTATATTACTATCCTTTTGAATTTATTGTCTATGTTGTTTCTGCATAGTTGTTTATGCCCGCAGACACTGTTTGAAAAACTATTACTTTCTACCATTTAGTACACACTTTATAATAATTTCATTGATGTAAATTTATGAAGTACCACTCAACTGAAGTCAGGAAGCTTTTTGACTACTTAGGGAGGGGTTGGCCACTGAGGATTCACATTCAAACACTGCCATAGAAGACATTATAGAGACATTTATCCCACTGGAACAAATTACTGCTCTTAGACAGCTATCAATCCAGAATGGTTTTATTGGCCTCACAGGAATCCTGATTTGCTCGGACAAACCAGGGATCAAAGTCACATGCTAAGCACAAAAGACTTCTCCAGACACCTGCTGGCATGCAGATTTTTTTTTTTTTTAACAGACAGATACTATTATTTTTTCATGCAGATAAGGCCTTACACATATGCTGTAAGTCAGAAGCTGAATTTTCCTTAGCCTATGAGAGAGTAAATAAAATGATGCCTTAGGAAAGGCTGACATCATATTTTCTGGATTACATACCACTGCAGTGTGTAGTTAATGTACCATGGGGACACTGGGATATTCTGAAGCAGAAATGGTAAAGAACAAGTCCAGTGCTTGAGAAACTTGGAGTTGCCTCAGGCACTAGTGTTCAATTTTAGCTTTTGTTTTAATGAAATCAGTTGTCAGATCAGTTTAAAAAAAAAAAAAAAAAGGCCAAGGATTTACATAATGCTTTTTAAAAAGCTTTTTCTTACATTGTTTTCCAGAGATCACTCTGATTCTTGTTCCTATGGAAACAGGGAAGGCTGCTGGCAGCCAAGAACTAACAGGCAAGAACTCTTCTTTGCAAACTTCAGTTTAGAACTGTCAAATGGAATATGTAACATTTTGAGAAAACAGCTGTGTATTATAAAAAATACTCGACCTCAGATTTGTAAAAACATAAACAAATGCAAGGGAGGCATGTGGAACATAGTAAAAAAGGGCAGGTATGGATTCTGCTTTCTCTGAAATCAGAGAAAAGCTGCTGCTGCTGCTTCAGTGGTCAATTCTGAGCCAGTTTTTGAGTTGCTGTTAGTTCTCAGTTCTTGAGCATCCACGTAACATTACAATAACTGATATTAATTAGTAAGCCACTTGAGAAAACCTTCTTCAACAGAAAGGATAGGCTCACTAATGAGCACCTTGGACATACTCCTAAAATACCATGTAAAAACTGAACTGCCTCATTTCTGCTGATAAGAGAAGGCTATAATTTCCAATTATTTTAAATAATGTTTGTTTCCTTTGTCTGTGATAATTTAATTCCTGTATTACCTGTTTTGATAAGCTTGACAACTAAAAAAAAAATACAAAAAAAAACCAAAAGAGAGACATGTAAAGCACATCCAAGTTCAGTTATGTTATTCAGTTCTAAACAAAATCAAATTTGCCTGATCAATCTCAAAGCCCTGAGGAGATAAACATCACATCCCAAATGTAAACACTTCATTTTGGAAAATAAAAAGCTGTTTATTTAATAATAGCAAATTTCTCCAATAGCTGCATGGTATCCATCTTTCTGCAGAATAAAGAGATTCCAATCACATTTTTAGGTGAGAACTCAGATTTTTAATCAGCTCAGCTCCATTTTTGTTTTGGAATCAACAAGAAATACCTTCAACTCTCTCTCACTACGAAACAGTTGAACTTAATTTTAAAATAAGTCTTAAATTTGAAAAATATCTGACATTTCAAAAAGTTAACATGTTCAGGATTTCATCTATTGCACTAAAATTCCAAAGAGAGCATTAATATGTACTGATAATTAAAATATAATTTCAAAATTATTGAAGCTATTACTACAGAAGAAAGCATTTTATTAACTCTCCAAGTCAGTATATTATATTGTCACCTTAAGTACTCATATTGCTGGTATGACAGAATGTTGTAAAAATACTTTACTGTACAATCCATTTTTCTGAGGTGAGCTACAGCTTTTTTTTTTTTATATGACTCAATTATTGCCATCCTCCACATACTAATATTCAAAGTTAGTCTTTATTTTAATGATATATTTTTAAAGCATCCTGCCATCTGTAAAAATGTCAAGTTCTGTTGTTTTTAAAGAACAGTAACTAAATTAGCAGCACTTTGCAGTAACATCATTTTGACAACAGCAAATTACTAAAAAGTACAGAATGTCAGAAGCAACAGTAATGCTTACTTGAGTGCTGAAGATAATTTTGTGCAGCTGAACAAGAATCTGCTGAACAGGATCACTGATCTGACACACCTTCCTTTGTGATACAGCAATTCCTGCCGACACCATAGATGACAAGAGTAAAATCAGGAGGGCAGATAATCTTGTTGCCTTAGCACATTAATAGCATACAATGTTTAAAACTTGTAGATGTAAATACCAAGTTGAAATGCTTGACTTGTTTTCCCAATAATGCTGGGAACAAAAAAGGATAATCTAAAATGTTAAAAATTTAGACAATGTAAGTGACAATGTGTTTCAAAAGAAAATCCCTTTCTCTGAATCACTAAATTACCCCATGAGAAAAGCAATATTAATGTACATCAACAATTGTTAAAATTTTGTCACATTTATTCAAAAGGATAAATATATGACAAACATAATTTTCTTAACTGAGTTTTTTATATAGACTTACACAATCTATTTTTAATATATTTTGATTTTATTGAATTTATTTTAATTCTAAGCATTATAATAATATGTATTATAGTAATATGTCTGACGTGGACTATTTCAATGAAGTGAATCTATTGTTCAGAATTTTTAATCTTGCATATTGAAGTCATTCACATTGTCAGGCCCAGAAATTAAATAAAAGCTTATCAGCGGACTTCCACTATAAAACACTTAGTGAATCACAAAATAACCTTTCCAAGTTGACTATTAGACGTGGGAGCTAAGCAAACTTCAACCAGCAGCCCTGTACCTCTCCTAAATACAATTTTCTCTAAACTACACTCCAGAGACTAATTTAGATATTCTAACATTTACTCTCACTGAAACACCCTGAGGATCATCAAGTCTTATGTATAAATTTACAATTGCTTTTTTTTTTTTGAAGGTGATCTTATGTCAAGATTAAAAATTCTACTGAGAGGGTGATGAAATCCAAATACCAACGTTAACTAGTCCACAACAGAACTATTACCACTTTTTTACTTTTGAATTTCTGGGCTGGCTACTTTAATAAGAAGAAAGATATTCACAAATATTAGTATCTAAAGACCCTCCAGATCTGAACTATGCTCTCACAGAAATAAAGTGATACAGATAAATATCCTTCTCTACCACAGGGAGACACATTTCTAGTCGGATCAGGGAGACAACATCATTGATATTGCTGGGGTTATTTATTGCACTGCCTTTTGGCTGATGTCTTGAGAAACTCAAGTGAAATTCAGTTTGATGTATTTCCCTTAGGTCTTCTCTTCATAATCAGTAAGAGGAAAATGAGTTTTCCATTTCCTCTGAGTCACTTAAAGAATAATCTAAGTTGGTTCTGCCCAAAGAGACAGTGGAAGCCATGCTATAATAATCTAAAATATAGATTATTGCCTATTGAATTGATTATAGCCACCAGAAGAACAATTTTGATTTAGGATTTTTGCTTCATTTTCTCATATCTACCAGCTATTTCAATACTGATATATTCAAGGCCCAAAGGAACCCAGTGTGGTTTTGACATTATTACCTTAAAATCTTCAGTTATGTTAAAAACACTCATCAAATCTTCACTTTGACACTTTTTCACTGCTCCCTGTTCTGTGGTATTTGTCTCCTCTTTTCCCATCAGTAGCATGTATTACAAACCAAAAGTAAATAAATCAGGGTCTATTCTTTTGTATGCCTTAAATTATTTTTTTCTGAATAGAAATATGTTTAGAATGATAACAGCAAACAGCAATGACCAAGTAAGACATAATTTGGATTGCTCTGTTATTCAACTTGTGGGGCTTTTTCTCTTTTCTAGTATGACAACAACAATGTGACTTAAAAGTCTAGGAGGACCAGATTTAATGTCTGCTTGTAGTACCTGTATGCTTCAAAGACTTTAGGAGTTCCTATGAAGTCCATACACTCCAGACCACTCCAAGTTCCTTGTTTGTTTATTTTGGGTTTTTTTTTAATACAGAAGTATAGCATTATTTGGAAGATGAGGGAACATGTGTGAATAGGTTGCTGCAGACTTGACCAAAGCTTTTAAGACTTTTATCCAAAAGGAAAACATCACTGACAAAAGCTAATGGATGTGCCCACTTTACTCACAGAACTGAAAATATCAACAAAGGCTAAAATGTTTTTCTGTAGTTCATTATAGCTCGCAGACATCATGTTTAAACTGAGTTGTTATTCTATGGCACCCTTTAGCAAACAGCACTGAAACTACAGAAAGTTGACATCAAATTTGGATTTGTACTGCATAATTAAAATTCTTAATAGAGTTTTTATATTAAAAGCTGTAAAATAAAACTTAGTACAGACAACAATCACTTTTTTTGTGAAGATCAATATCTTAACTGATCAAAATAATTTTATTTTAAATATTATTTAACTCAATACACAGTTTGCAATCCCATTTTAGCAACTTACGGGGTGTGAAACTTCTCAGGAAAAGTACTTCAAATGGAAAACTTGTTTCACCGATAATGATGTATAAATAAATTATAATTAGCAATGGCTGTATGAAATAATCATTTTACAGGAGAAATTCCCATTGCATTCCACAGAAATTTACCTGGATAATGACAATTAATGAGATCTTACTGATTCACTATTGGAATTTATACTTTTAAGAAATACCTTAATGATACTTCAGATAACATATTTGGATGTAAAATATAATTATCTCTTTTTCTAACATTTTAAAATACCATTATAAATAAAACCATGACATGATGGCTATGATATTTCATATTGCAAAGAGCTATGACTGGTAGACTATGAAACTGGCATCTCATCATGAATAAATACTTGATTTTCTTAGTATGGGACCTGTGGCTGAGTGAAGGTACTCTCAAAAGCAGATCAGTAGGCAATAAAGAGGAAGAAATAAAAGAGAAAATACTGTATATGCAACAGGAGAATAATGTATATATATAATGTATATATAATATTCAAAAAACCTTGAAAATCATTAGTTTTAAGTTAAAGTCTGAATTTCTTGCAAGCACGAAATTACCTGATCACAGTCTTGATCCAAAACCATAACATAATCTATCATTATTTTTTAAAAAATTTTAAAAGAAAAAAAAATTTTAATTGTGTTTGGTATCAACGATTGTAAAGAAAATACCAGTATTCCCTGACTCCTCCTCATGCTTCCTCTAAAGTTCACTAGTTTACAGCTATGCTTTTTTAAAGGCTGGTTTACTCTGTATGTCCAAAATAGAATGACTTCTACTAAATAAAAGTGTCGTTCCTTTTTTCAGTACTAGTAAAGTGGGGAAAAAATTGGTACTACATCACCAGGATAACAATATCTCAACGTCAGAAATATAGATCTCCATGTTTCAATGCTAGATCCTTCTGTAAACTCTGGACAATTACTTTCCCAGCCAGCAGATCTCACTAGCTGAGATAAGCAATAAAAAATGGTCACAGACTCCAGGGAACTGAAAGAACAAACATGATGTCCTGATGGATGGCAGCCACAATAGCCTGAGTACGGCAAGAGTTTTTATCTATTTTTGTGGAAACTACAGTTTCAAGGAGTCGTTACAAATTAACTGCTGATGAATATGTGAGGGGCAGAGATTTGTATAGTAGTGAATTTCTACAAAGAGAAAGAAAATGTGCTTTCTGCAATGCTCAAACAGGGGGAGGCTGCAACAGGGCTGCAAAAGATGAAAGGCTAGGAAGGGATAAATGGCAGACTGGATGGTGTTATGCTAAGAACCATTCTGAAAGCAAAAATAAAATATTGCACTTGACTCAAACAGGGTCTATGAAGAAACATAGGAAAAGAATCAATTCTATCATTATAAATATTTAGCTGGTTAAGTTAAAGGTAAAATGAAAAAATTGTTTGAGAGGAAGATGCAGCCAAGAGTGATTTTGAGAGTTTGTTTTGGTTTTTTTTTCAGATATGAAAGAAAAGCAGAAATGAAGAAATAATTAACAGGATTTCTGAATAAGGGTGGTGCCAAAGTGATCAGAAAAAATAAATCAAGAATGTATTTGGTGCATTACCAAAGAAATAGAAAAAAAAGGAAGATCTTCAGAAGAGGGATGGTATAACATATTCTGCTTCTGTTTGTTTCTTTTTTGTAGAAATGAGGCCTCCAAAATGCATGAAATGGGTGTTTATGTTTATACAGAAAATCCAGAGAAGTTCAAAGGAACAAGGGACTCTACACTACTACAACATACTCTAAACTATCAAATACACAAGCACCATTTTCTGTGGAAAAACATCTGCTTAAAAATATAAAACAAGAATTTGGCTAATCAACTGATGTCAGTTTAAGTTTCAATAGCAAGGTCCGTTGTTAAAATTATTTATCATGTAAAGCTTTTGTGTGGAAACATCCTCTAACAATACCCTCAAGCAGAACTGGTGTCCTAGGTGAGGTAAAATGAAGCCGTAAAAGCAACCAAAGACATGTTTCATGAAAGAACTTGAGGAACAGTTCCACTGTGAAACTATCAACTGTAATTGATAGTAACAATGACAACTATATTTAAAAAATAAACACCTACCTTATCTGAGACTGTCTTTCAGAAGCACTAAAACTTAGTATAAAAAAGCTGAAACAAACACATAAATACTATTTTCTGTTTAAAAGAAACATACAACATGCATGTTAGTATCTTCTATTCCCAGATATGGTGTCAAAATAACTTTTAAAAAACAGCATTAAAGAAACCCCAAACCCCCAACTTGACTATCAAGTTGCTGTTTGATGTATCAAAAATTTGCTTACATCATAAAAAATATCAGCCCAACAGAGTATTTTAATAAATTATGTTAGAAAATTGTTACAGAAAGTAACTACACATGCTGACTAAATGTCCACAGAATATGCACCTGGATTTGCATTAGATTGTTACAATTTCTGCTACCACTACAGCCACAACATTGTCTCTAGTCTGGATAAGGAGATGGAATATTTGCCCACTTTCTTAGATGTCCACCAGATTTTTACTGCCACCAGGCCATTGGCTGCCTATTTATATGCAGTAACATATGCAATACCTTTTTTTTAAAATAATCCTACTGAAGTCAAGACCTTGAAGGCAGCAGTATAACCAGTTATTGGGCCAACATCTAATCAGCTATCAAACTGAAAGTAAACATTCAAATAATTTATTGCATACTGCCAAAAAAGGTGTAGAAGGAAGGCTAATGTTTGATGACATCTATTATTCATGCACTTGGAAAGCATTGCCTTAAAGCAAATATTAGTTTTATGCATTTTTCTTAAATCATTCCTGTAAAACCATTCTTTTGATGATAATTTGGATGGTAATTTGAGACCACCCTGGTATCTCATTTTGATTGAGTGTATGTTTAATGAAAATATAATTCTGCTAACTGAAAGTCTGAGTAGCAAGACTAGGATACTCTTACAAAATTAATATATTTTAATAAAAGGCCTGCATCTTTGTCTATATGAGATTTTTTCCACACTGGTAACATCACAAACATTATCACTAAACAAGAACAGAGGCATCTAATCACTCAATCAGCAGATAAGAAAATAAAAGATTTTATGTCAAACTATTTTCCCATTGTTGGTCGTGTTACAGCAGTTATATTAGTTCTTGAGCAACTGTAGAGCAAACATATTTTTGAGAGTCTTACATCTTTTCATGTTCAAAGACACTTTTGTGTTGGACTCTGAAATATTTTTCCTACTTTTCTGAGATCCTCTGAATTAAAAAAAAAAAAAAAATCTGAAGGAGGCTTTCATCTGTCAAACTGAATTCGCTTTAAAACCAAAAGAAATTATACATCTTTAGGCCAAATCCATCTCCCTAAAAAGGAGACACAGAGACATATAGAGAATGAAAGGGAAAGAAACAACATTTTAATCTTTGCTGATACTTTGCTTAGCAAAACAGATACCAAAATTCTGTGGTAGCTAGCACAAAAGACTATTTGATAAGAGCAGCTAAATTACATAAAAGCAAATAAACTAGGCCCTCAGAGAAGCAAAAGTTCTTCAATTAACTTTGTTAATGAGACAGAAGAATATAAAAAGAGAGTGCCCACAGCTTAGAAAGTGAAGAAAATGAAAAATATTATTGTGCCTATTCAAGGAACAGGTATTTTACCTGCTTAGGACACAGACACAATAACACAAATACAAAACTAGAAGCTCTGAGTGGATGTGAGTCATGTTGCTTGGGGTAAGGATTATGAGTTACAACCTCAGACACTCCGTCACAACAAATACCATAATATATTATGTGAATATCTGCAAGAAAATCTGTAACTAAACCCACTTGGCTAGAAAGCTAAGAGTGAACACAGATGTTTGCTACAATTTTATAAAAACAACCCCCCTTTTCAAGTATTCATAGATAAAATCTGGTTTGAAATACTTCACCCTTTGGCTGTTTCAAATAAATGATCTCTTATCAGTAAAAGGTTCATATCCAAATTTGCTTGATCAGTTTGATGACTCACCACATTTGATTTGCTAATCTGCCATCTTATGAGTGTATTTACAAGTGCACAATATTTCACACCAAAGAGTCTGTCTCACCACTGACTGTACACAGCAGAGATGCAATATTTTCTGATTCATATGCTAAAGTTAGGAAAATACTTATTAATGCTAAAAACCAAAACCCCAAAGATGATGAACATCACTAAACAATAGCAAACACCCTTCAGGCCTATATTTATTGCTTATTATTAAGCTAAAGACCCACTGAGCAGATAGACCTGAGAGAGGAATCTCATTATGTTACTCACTATGAAAACACAGGGAAATAATTTTCTTAATAACTAAACACAAGGGGACTCAAACATGTAAAAATCATTGTAACAAACACACTCATGTGTACCCACATATTCAAGGAACACTAATGACTTTATTCATAATCCCTAGTCTTCTGTGTATGAGTTATCCTAATCATACAAAGCCAGTCAGGAAGTAAGAAACAGCACAATGTGCAGGCAAGTTAACCCATGTAAGTCATGGAGCGCACAGTGTATCCTGATGTTCAGCTCAGGGTTCCCTGGAACATATTTCCTTTTGCCATGGCTACCTCTTTGACATGGATAGGAAGAGCAATATGTTCAGTTCAAATGCCTTGCAAGAGGGCATTTTTCAGCTCAAGACAATCTCAAGGAGAATTAAATACAAACCCTCCATCTCTTTTCTGTTTTATGCCCATTCTTTGTAGATTGTGAAAGAAACACACAAAAACCAAAGCTTTTCATTCTGATCAGCCTCCCTGTTCTGAGTAGCTCTATGCAGATTCCTTGAGGACATTAAAAAAAGTATCAAATGAGGCATAAATAATTTCTCTGACTGCTACTTTGGTCTTTAGCAGTTGATGTAATTAGAGCAACTTCTAAGACTTTAACTTCTTAACATGCATTGACATCAGTAAAAATTATACAAATATATTTTCATATGAAGTTTAGTGTTCTGCTCTTGAGGCACCTAAACAGGCAATTGCAAGGAAAGAGCTGGTAACATGAGATAAGATCCAGAAAACCTGAGAAATAGTAACTTTTGCTTTGGCTTTAACTTTCACTTCAATGGTATCTTTGAAAACCTTTCTAAGTTTGACCAGACTGGTTGGAAAATTGAATAAAATTTTTGTATTAGCAGAGAACTTCAGTACATCTCCTTGAATAAAATGGAAGCAAAAGGAGTGGTTTTTTGAATGATAGCTCAACTATCTTTTCAGGAGTAAGGTGAAATTACCTTTATTAATTCAAAATACTCATAGTAAACTGCCCTTCAAATGGCTATACACTGGAATGGACAATCCTAACCAGGTTAATTAAGCTGTTTTGCAGAGCAAACAACAAAGATTTTTCTTACTAGCAGTGATTCCATGTACAGCAACAGAAGTTTTAGTTATTTCAAACTAAACTCAGACATCATATAGGAAAACCAGGTCTTGGCTGATGTCTTCAACAAAATCCCATTAGCAAAAAAAAACAACCAAACAAAAAACAAATCAACAAGGCTTATCTCTGTGACCACAGAACTTCCAAGATATAAGCTGTCTGCAATGTGGCCCAAATTACAGGCTCCAGGAAACAAATTACATTACTGAATGGGGGTTTATTTCACAACATGTTTCCTCAAAAATATTAAATTTGGAGTTAAGTGATGACCTAAACTCATTACCTAAGTGATGAGCCAAATCACTTGCTACATAAAACACGCAGAGTTCCTGTTTTGAGAGTATCCTAGTTCTAGAAATCCCCAGTTATTCAACTTGTGCATTACCTGCACAAGACTCAAGTCCCCTAGCACTGGGTAAACCACTTACATTTGTCAAAGAAAGATATAGGAGACTCTAGATTTTAGAGTTGCATCACTAGAATATTGTTCAGGTACATCTGTGGTGTCTTCATTACATGGTAACTTTGAATAGTATTACAGGAAAGGAATCCTGAATATCAGTGTCTTTGCTTATTGGTAACAAGATAAGGGCAGAGATTTCATTCATGTTTCCACTCCAAATAGTGGAAGCATAAATGAAATTATGAGGTAAGAGAAAACTTTTAAACAAGATACAGCTGCACAAAAGGGCAGTGTTTTGAGACTTCCTAATCTCTTGAAAAGGCTGAGCAATTCTGAAAAGAATCTATTGCATGCTACCTCTATATTGGGAGGAAGGTTAGGAGTACATAAAGCCATAGACCAGGGTTTTCTAATAGCATGTTTCACATAGAATTGTCTTTCAATGTATTTAGGACACTGTCCTGGTTGTGATGAAAATTAACATGATTAGGGAAAACAAAAAATTTTGTCCAAAAGAGCATTTCCAGACAAAAAGTAAATTTTTCAACTCTCACCCAACTGACACATCAGCTCTACTGGACTACTATGCATTAAGACATATCACATATTTTCCTGCTATTTGGTTTTTCCAACAGAAGTGAAGATATGGTTACACTGTAAGCCACATGAAAATAAAACCCCTTTAATATGACTATGCTAAGGTAAAGTTGTGAACCTTGTAATTTTAAACTAAGAAAAAAAATCCAACTAATAAACTGTTACCATCGCATCATTCTTCACAGCTTTTTGACTCAGTATGTCCCTATCCTCTGACAATCTTCATAATTTGAAATTATAATTACTTCAGGAAAAGAAAAATGCATCTGTCACTGCTGCCTCTATGCTTTTGAAATGTGCAGAATCTTGTTCTTGTAGGATTAATCATTTCAAGTACCAGGAGAAACTATTCCAGAATCTACACACCCTGCACTTGGAAATCTTGTTAAAAGAGCTGGTCTTGTAGAAATACATTGTCTATACATTCTATACTAATCAGAACAATCCTTTTTTAAAAGCACAATTAAAAAACACTGAGTATGCAAAGTCATTAAAAATAATATGACAATATGGGACTATGAAAAAAGCTTCCCCCTATTACACTGACAAATCCATACCAGTGTCTGCGCTACTGAACAGCTCAGCATTTCACACCTTTTTGCAAAGTACCACCCTAGTTTGAAATTAGAATGAACACATTTTCTCTGAGAATGATGTGATGACAGCACAATTAGACAAATCCTTTCACAATCTTAATCAACATACCTGGAACTAAAACTCTCATCTTCGTGTTAGCAGTTTCCAAGTTAGGTAGATCAAAGTTGGTCACGTATTCCCCGGTAATGCTGACATGCTTAACAAAACCATGGCTAATAATTCTAACTCTGTTAGCCACTTACTATTAATGAATTGAACATTTTTCAAGCAATTCCCAATTATCCTGAATTTATAATATTTTTAAGTTATCTTTTCTTTACTCCTCAAAAGTAGAAACATTTTCCAACATTAATTACAGCTGATCTATGACACTGACTTCAACATGAAGTAGAAACTACAGCTGATCTAAGAATGTAAGACTGTAGAGTTATTTTTCTGAAAAAGCAATCCTGAAGTATCTATATAATAATTAGACTCTATGCTAGGAGAAAAATGGATGGCTTCCAGAAATGCTGATTAAAGTTACTGGGACTGATAAGAACTGACAGGATCTTTCCACATAAAATATTTAATTAAAACTATGGCAATATGGCACAGTAATATTCAAATATTAGGAAAAGCTGATATTTTGTTAATGTCTAAATCTTAACAAAGAAAAATTAACTACAAGGAAATCCTTACCACTAATGCTTTGGGTGTGGTGAGTTACAAACTACAAAAAGGCTTCAAATTTCTTTGCACAATGCTGAACTAGCCCACAAAGAATTATATTCCTGTGAGACACACAATGTGTTATTCTTCAGTATGAACATAGAACCAAACTTTGTCCCTGGAAGCTGCTTTTTCTCAAGAGCTTAATTCTATGCAGTCCCTTCCCACAGTTATTCAAGGCTTCCCTCTATCCTGCAGCCTTCTCCTGTTACTCTCTTAGCACAAGAAAGTGGCCACAAAAAATGCTTTCTAAAATTACTATTTTTTAAGCAAACTTTGACAATAATCTCAAAGCTGGCGAGCCACAGATCCTCTACCCTTCAGAATGGCAGACTATCCAATTACAATTAGCAAATCATTTTAATGGATTTTAAGTAGAATTACCAAATCATTATTTGCTCTGCACTCATGGCTTCAGTAAAAAAGCTCATCAGTGCTCTTCAGTACCTGGGCCAAAATATAAAATAAAATATAGCTACCAAATAGGATTACAAACAAATAATGCTATTCTAGGTTTTTTGAATCCTGGGATATTTGCAGCAATGCTGTTTTCTAATCTTCAGACAACTACATTCCCTTTACCTTCTAAAAGTACATCTAAATCATCCCTATATTTTGTTAATGGAAATCTTAAATTTTGCTTAAATCTAACACCCATCTCTTTTTTTCTAGTATAAAATGAGCTTTGATTTTCACTAATCAGAATCCCATTGCATTTAATAGGTAGGTCATGGTAGCTCACAATCTAGCAAGTAAAGTCATAGTGGTTAGTTGCTAGGGTTTTTTGAGTTTATTTTTTTTTAATTCTCGAATTGGAAATATAATCCCAAAAAACTGTTACTTAAGATAACACCCAACACAGCTGGTGCTTTCCAATTTGATTACCATAAATAACTATAAGCAGAATTCATGCTGTGTTATGTCACATAATTCTGTCCTAATTAAAATCTATGTATTCCATCAGTTGCATTCAGTAGATTCTTCCAGGCAGCCAAAGCTTACCTCTTTCAACTTTCTTGTTCACACTCTTCCATCTGTTTCTTATCAGTATTAGTCATCTTATGTTTAAATTTAAAACCACCTTCTTTCTCAAGAAGCCAAATAATATTCCATTTTTCATAGCTGCTACTCCAAAATATGTGGACAAGCTACACAAAGTCCTGGTGGTATCAAATCTATTAAAGTAGACATGGCTGTCACAGAGGCACAGTGATTTTCTTAGGTAACAACAGATTGTGAACTTGTGACAAATAATGTAATACTCTCATATATTAGACTAAACAAATGCTTTACTGTTAGAAAGTTGTGTACAGTTCATTCTTGAAGAATCTTACCAATAGCAGACTCTTCCAAATTATTTGAACTAGAGCTGCTTGAATTGCCCACTATGTCTATCTCACTGTCATCCAGAGAAAATACCTGCACATATAAACGAAAACAAAGAACACACACACCTCTGAACAGCATGATAGCACCTGATGCTTCTTTTGTTAATGTCTACATTTCTCCATAGTCCTGTCATCCTCTACCAGGATTGCTTCTTTCCTCGTCTTTTCCATGTGCAGACTAACAGCTGTCAACTGGAAGGTCATTATTTTCTGAAAATTCGCTTTTACAACTGGCTATTCTACTGCTGCTATGATGCAGACTTAACTTCTCATAATTTTTCTGACAAGCAAGAACAAAAAAGCAACGTTAGATATTGTCCTTTTCCAACACTCACTAGAAAATCCAAAAATTGAAGTGTCACTTGTGCATGCACACATAAAACTAGACTTAGCTGTTAGTCCAGGACTGCACAGTACCTAGTTCAGTGGCTGATTCTAAATTTAGAGCAAGACTTTCAAACTCTTAAACTAAACAATTTATTTGTTCTTGATGACAATCTTTTCACAACAAGCACTGAAAGTGAGAAAAATGAAACAAATGACAGAGCAGAAGCAAATACTGAACAAAGGAAAAATAGTAGACTGCACAAAAGTAGTAGGTTCCCGGGACAAGCACTGGTAGATTTGTTCTCTTCCAACTTTGATAACAGCAGCCCAGTTCTGGATAATGCAAAACCTGCACAACAGCCAAGAGAGTAGTGAAATATGAAGTGAACTTGAAATGATGTCATGGTTTGACACTGGCCCAATGCCAGGCACCTATAAGAGTTGCCCTCCCACCCTCCCCTGCCACAGCTTGGGCAAAAGAAGAACAAGGAAAAAAAAATTAATGAAGGCTTCATGAGTGAGATGAGGATTGGGAGAAATATTTCCAGGGCAAAACAGGCCCAGCTTTAGGTGTAAAGTGAAGTTTATTACTATCAGGATCAGAAGAGGATAATGAGAGGTAAAATAAGACCTTAAAACACCATTTCCCCCCCCCGCCCCAGCCCCTCCCTCCTTCCCACCGACAGCACAGGGAGACAGAGCGTGGGGATTTTGATCAGTTCATCACCCAGATTTTCTTCCACTTCTCCGGGAGAGGAGTCCTTCCCCTGTGAGGCCATGGGGTCCCTCCCACTGGAGACAGGTCACTGTGAACTTCTCCAGCATGTGTCCATACTCACGGCAGCAGCCAAGCTGCACCTGCTGCAACCTGAGTCCCTCCCACAGACCAACAGTCCTCCCAAAACTGCTGCGATGTGGGTCACTCTTCACGGGGTGCAGACCTCTAAGGACAGGCTGCACCAGCCTGAAACAAGGGCCCTCTCTCTCCACCAGGTCTTCCACTGCATCACAGCCTCTTCCAGGAATCCATCCACTCCCACACGGGCTGCAGGTGGATCTCTGCATCCCCCATGGATCCCCATGGGCTGCAGGGACACAGCTGCTTCACCATGGTCATCACCAGGGCCTGCAGAGGAATCTTGGCTCCAACACCTGGAGCACCTCCTGCCCCTCCTTCTCCACTGACCTTGGTGTCTCCATGTTGTTTCCCTCACATATTCTCACCTCCTCCTCTTCTCTGACTAGAAACAAAACCTGTAACTTGGTTTTGATTTTCTTTTCTAATATGTCATCACAGAGGAGTTAGAGCCTCCCTCACCAGCCCAGCTTTGGCCAGCAGCTTGTCCATCTTCAGAGCCATCAGCCATTGGCTCTGCTGGACATGGTGGACACTTCCAGCAACTTCCCACAGGAGCATCTCTGTGGCCCCCTGCTACCTAAACCAGGCTGTGCCAAACCAATACAGATGTGATGCCAGAGGGACATGGAGGCTGAAATGACCAAATGCTACTGGCATTATCCAAGCAGAGCTATGAAAATCAAAACAAGGAATACAAATTATTTGCTTGTAACATTTAAATGCCTCATCTTGTTTGTTATTTGAAGCATATAAAATTCTGCCTCTGCTGCTGTCAATGTTTACAGTTTTTCTGGAATGAATAGAAATCCCCAGTCCCTGCTATTGCTTCTATTTTAATGCAACATATTTTGAAGGAAGAGTTTCTATGATCTCATATTGTTCTAAATCTTCACATATTATTTCTGTTATTTTTGTTGTGTGTAAATAAAGTCATGTTTCTTTTTACTCCATTTTGTCAAAGTAAAGCATGATAAAGGAGGACAGGAGATAAATTATATAAATGTATCAGATTAAACAAATTAGTATATTTAATATTAAAGTAATTTCAGAAGATAATACATTCATAAATGCTTATATTCTTACCAAGTCTGCATAAGACAATTTGTCTTATATCTAAGACAACATTCTTTCAAAGTTTTTCCTGTGAAGTATTTTGACTTCATTAGGACACAGCAGAGTGAATGCACACTAGAATTTTTCTCCTCAGAAACTTCACTGAATCCCTGAGCATTGATTATACATACCACTGTCTACATAATGATCTGCTTCAACTATTTGCTTCCCTATGCCTTGTTCTAGTCCCAAATTCCTAACAAGCCAAGACATGGTTTGTCAAGGTTTTCTCTTTAAATTCAGGTGGAAAAAGGTCACTTTGTATTTCAGTACTGGACTGAGGTTTTGTCCGAGATGCCACAATAGCAGTGACTGCAGTGTAGCACGGCATGACAAGCACTAACGATGACTCTCTAACTGACTTTAAGAGACCACTCCAGTCCTGGCACTCATGAACACACTTCTTGTGCCCTGAACAGCCAGTGCACAGTTGCTGAAGAGAGCCAGTTCACCTGCTCCACATCAAAGGAATCAAAGCAGAGAGAGACAAGGGTCAAACTGCATGGATATTTCAAACTTAAGTCTCCTTTCAACATTTTCAATATTGAAACTCATACACAAAAGACTCATTGTTAACAATAGCTTGTAAATCAGGTGGAGCTGAGGGGGGGAAAAAGATCAAAAAAACAGCTGATACCAACTTGTGCCAGATCTTACTGTCCATTAAGAAAGGAAACCTGTTTGAAATGTCTGAATGGAATTCCACAGACCTCAAGCTAAAAATAATGGACAGACCTAGTATAGAAACTCTTCAAAGATCAGTGGAACATATCCTAAAATGTTAAAATACTTATATAAACTGTAAAGTTATAATCTGTCTTTAAAAAAATCTGGTCCTGTCCATTTACACAGCACTTGAATATAGAAAACTTTAGTATTTCATTACTAATCTGAGAATAATAAATAAATATGCTGTGATATACTTTACTCCACTTAGAAAATAGCGATTAATCTTTAAAAGTGCCATTATGTACTATTGCTTTTTCTCATCTTAGTTGGACACTGGCTGATTTAGAAGAACAAAAGTATCCTGACTAGAACACAATGGGATGCATGTTCAATCTTTTGCTCACCATAGGAGAGGGACCAAAATTACCTACATAAAGATAAAAGGATATAAAGAACATAATTTTTTGAGAAGATCATGGAGAAATGTATACTCCAACACATTGAAACAATCATTTTCATATGCTTTGAAGCCTCAGAGTGACTTCTTTCAGATAAGGAGAAAGACAGATGCTTATCTTTTGAAGAAATCTATTCAACTGGAATATTCAAAATATCCCAAACATTGAAAAAGGAATTAGGTTGATATTTATTCATTTGAACTGTGTGCATACCTACACTTGATTCTAGAGTTCAATATTTTACAAATCTCTCTGGAGGCTCCATTAGTTGATACAGTTTATTTTCACATTTTCCTTATAAACTAGTGCCTCAGTTTCCCCATTCATCAGATTAATTGTTGAAACAAACTCTGCCTTCATGTATAAAAAAACACTGTTGGAAAGGAAAGCTAAGGGGAGAGGTCCCCCACAAAAAATGTTCAAATTATTAACCAATTAACATTTTTTTCCCGCATTCATCTACTGGTATTACTGAGCAAAATCATCTCTGGAAATTTATATCCCAGCCATGAAGAAAACTTCTGTCTTCATTCAGATCCTGTATACTTGCAATCTCTATCTCTTCATTGGTAACTATCAACACTTTAAAATCGAGATATACTTTGTTTTCAGAAAAGTGAAACTTGAATTATTGGTTTTGTCTTCCAACAGGAATCTGTTGAATCTGTTAGAAAAAAAAAAAAAAGTAGGTAGAAATAAAATAAAGATACTGATCTTTTATTTAGTTCTGTTTTGTTATACTGCTGTCCAGAATAATTAACTTTTCTGTCTTCATGAAATATAGAGCTCTCTAGTGGCATTTGCAAACAGCATTTAATTAATCTTCTTTATTAGAGACATTTACAATTACAGCATTATGCTAGTGAATTGAATTTCTATTAAAAAAAACCAAACAAATTACAACCTATTTACACTGGTAAACTATCAATAAAATAAGTGATAACTAACATGAATTTGGCAGGGAAAAAGACAGGCTAAACCAATACATCTTTTTCTGTAAGAGGGTAACAGCTCCTGTGCATTAGAAACAAGAAGTAGAAGTTACATATGTGGGTTTTAGCAAGGTTTTTGACAATATTTTTTACAACATCCTAGAAGAAAGCTAGGAAGTGTGAGCTAGACAAAATCATGATCAGTTGGCCGAACAATTGACCATAAAAATTGTTTTCAACCTGGTAACTGCTTTGAGTGTTTGCTAAACTGAAAATGGGTAGTGAGCACAATTTATCAGGCTCCTTTTTGACCTTGTTCCAAAACTACTCAATGTTGTCACTGAATTACAATGATAATCTGCATAATGGATAGATAGAGTGCCTATTAAAAGTGCCCAGATTGTGATACATTCACATCATACATCATATTGCAGCATATACATCATACACAGAGCTGTGTCAATCAAAGTGACACTTGGTGTCAAATAAAGTTTTGAGAAAAAAAACCCTGGGGGGTATGCAACATAAGAGAAAGACCATACATAACTTTTACATCTTTCCACTGTGGGGAGGAAATTTTCAGTAACTAAGTGTTTAACTGTAGCACCTATGTGGGATCCTGCAGGGAGAAATATGTGTTCACACACTATGTAACAGGTTTGAATGCACACAGCAGACAGCTTTTGGGGATATTCTGGACTCAGTGCTATAAGAGCCCTTATATGACATTGAAGACTGGGTCTGCAAATTTCAAGTGCCATATACATCCCATTCGTGCACAGGCATATGTCAATCTAATATCTCCTGGAAACCAGACGTGCATGAAGTATAAAGCCTTTCAAGCTTTATATAAATATATACATAAAATATATATAAATATAGCTTTTGCTTTATATTCAAGCAAAGACCAAAATTTTCTGCAAGTATCAGACTAAATGCAGATGTTATCTTCATATGGAAAAAAAAAAAAGAAAACTCAATAAGACATAAGATTGTTGACTCTAAAGACAGTTTTTGCATTTCTGCTGTTTCCAAACTGTTTCTATAACATGACATTTTTAAGACTGACTGGTCAAATACCTGTCAGGAGTGACAGGTAACTCTAAGGCTTGGAAATGGATAAGATAGTCTTTGACAACTCTTCCTCCCTTACATTCAGCAATTCTATTAAAAAGCTTTTATGCACTAACAAATTAAACATTCAGCAACTCTTAAAAAGACTATACCTTCAAAACAGTTCTTGTATTTTCCCTTTATTCTCCAAACTTAAATAGTGTAAATGTAAAAAGGTTCCTTTCTTTTAATCACATGAACATTTTTTAAATTTATACATGAGTTCTAGTACCTGCTACATAAATAGCAGAACAGAATGGTGTCACAATGGAGTGAAAGGTGGAAGAATAAGAAAGCAATCATGACCATCCACATTTTTATTTTATAAAAAATTTATTTTATTTTATTTTATAAAAATGTAACAAATTTTAGTGATAATTTTAATAAAAATATTTTAATATTCTAGTCTAGCATAATTACCAAAATATTAATAACCTGTTGCATGCTATGTGTTATAAACCCAAGCATACTCATTGCTTTAACCAACACCAAAGCAATTCCTGCACACACACACGGTTTTAAGAAGGAAAATATTTTATGCACTGAATGACACAAAATCTATTTCTAAACATAAAGGAAATTAAAATGAACATTAATCCAATCTTTATGTCTTTTTCTGAGTTAACAAAAGAACTTGATTAATTCAAATCAAATTGCTAATTAAGTACTACTTTGTAATGCATGTGGTGATGCTTAGAAACTAACATGATTATTAGCACAACAATTGCCAGCAGAGCAGAACTGAATTTGGACATGGAGGAAAATGACTAGGTGAAAAAACAGGTAAATTATGTTGTGTTTCTTGGTCCTTCATATAGCTGTGATACTCAAAAATACAAAATACAATCAACTCATAATCATCTAGAAGTAGAGTATGATGGTTTATGTCACAGATAAAGTTCAGGAAACTGCATCAGCTATTTCAGGTTTGGTCAGGTTCTTTAGTTTAAATTCACTCATTTACATATAGTTTGAAAACAGCTACACTGCTTTGTTTACTATTTTCAGACAACAAAGAGTTGAACACTCTCTGCAGGAGAGCTAGACAGACTTTAGCATAGGCTGTAGCCAAGCTGCCTGCAAGAAGAATAACCAGAGTATGTTTTCTGTCAGCACCAACCTAGTCCAGTAGCACAACATCTTGATACCTACAGATCTAGCCTGGGAGGCCCAGTCTTGATCTGCAGCTAAAAGTCCTATCTAGATGGAAGATGACTTGCTGTGATCCTTATGCCATGCTCTCCAGCATGCTAGGTTAAGGAAAGTTCAAGTGTGAAAACAGGAAAATGCAGAGAACAGCCTTGCTAAGGGCATTCTCATGCATTTGAACACTAGGACAAAGCACTCAGCTAAGGACAACTTTAATGAACCAGCTCAGATCAAGCATTGTTAATGAATTCTGACTCCGTATTAGCCCCAGCTAACATGGAACAGGGAGACACTCCAAAAAGTGTAGAGATCACACTAAAATCAGAAAAACATATTGGACCTACTTTTCCCATTATCTAAGCATCATCATCCCCAATTACTCTGAGTAACTGGGAACTTATTCTGAATACATGGATTAGCATATATGAATTTAAAAATGAAATGCCTAGTCTAGTGACATTATTGATACAAAAATGAAAATAAGCTTAAATTCCCAAAGAACATAGAGAGGCATAGCGAAGGAATGTGACATATGGTTTATGCACAGAGAAGAACTACATAAACTGAGAAAAGGAAATTGTTCTGACCATCCAGGTAGTCTACCATGTCTGCCCATTTTTAATATATTCTCAGAGAAGTAGAAAGTACAAATGGCTCATATTTTGTCATATATTTTTAGGTGATGGACTCCAGTTACAAAACTTACACTTTACCACATTAAAAAGACAGGACTTAACTGAATATTCATCATTCTATATTGTTTTACGTATATATATATATATTACATTTAAAAATGATAGAAAAGTTGAAAACCTTTTAGGATATATGCAGTAAATGAAACAATAATGGATGATGCCCATGTAATGAAACAGACATTGCTGAAATAATAAAAGTGACTTATTTTCACTGCTTTCTAAACAGACAAAATACATTTTTCAAATCTATATACTTCAAAAAGCAATCAAATTATTATTTGGCTAAACACTCATCTCTTCAAATTAAAATATTAGAAAGACAATTCATTAGTTAGATCAACTACTGTTTTGAGACTTATATTTGCCTTGGAACACAGAAAATTCAATTTGCTACTGATCTGTTTGGTGACCATACACAAACTATCTTTTTCCTTTCCACCTCTTCCTACCCAGAGCATGAAAATATAATATTTATCACCTTGAAATGAAAGTGCAACATGAATTATTAATGTTAATAAGAATTATTGCCATTATTCTTACTTGTTTGGGTCTTCTGTACCATGTGTTATGTCAGCAAACTTAACCTTTCAGAACTGAACACACAAACTCTATCAAACACCTGCCACCCCTACATCTGTTTCTGTTCTAACATAAACAATTTCTGTAGAAAGCTAAGAAACATAAGAATTTATGTGGGGAGCTGATGACGATTCTTTTTACTGGGATTATTTTCAAGCATGGATTTTATGCTATACTTACAACACAAGGTAACTAACTGTACTTCATCATCTACTGACCTGCCTCCCAGTTGCCTATTTACCAGCTACCAAACTAGCTTTAAACTACTTCTAAAACAAATTCAACTCTGGCTCCAAAAGATCTCTGGTCTTCAGTTCCATATACAAGGACAGCGAGTACAGCCCTTATTTCAGAAACATTCAAAATATAACACAGCAGGGATAAAAAAGGAGCCCATAAGAACATTTCAGTAGAGAAAGCAAAGTATAAGCTAGCTGGCTTCAACAAAACATTGAACTACATGGCAGAAACACCGAATTCTCTGACACCATGGAAAAATGACAAATTACTTGGGTGTGGAATCGCTGGGGCCTTGAATAAGATGAATTAGGCTGTCTACATCTCACAGAGGTTTTATTTCAGGAGCAGTTGCTTGAAATTCTTCCAAACACTTTTAGTCAGAACATAGCCTTTTTTTTTTTTTTTCCAAAAGGCAAACTTTTCAGGACTAATTATTTTATTTATTAGAAATCCTTCAACTTTATAAAGTTTTCCTAAATACCAGAAAGAAAGAAACAATATGGCTCCTTCTGTTTCTAAGGCCTGTAACATGCCCTGAAATTTGAAAGATCCTAGCCTGATTTATTCTTATTTTAAACAATTTGCAAAATTAGGTTTTGTTACTAAGCTATATTCCCATCCATTTCTTCAGAGTTCTGGATCTTTGCCAGAATTTCTTATTCTTTTGATATACGTAATAAAATATCAATTGTAACTAGAACTGCAGTTTCCTCCTTGAGAAAACTAGCCATTATCACCCAAAATACACAGGCAGTTTTCTAGATAGGTGTATTTTCCAAGTATTTATACAAAACACAAGTATTCTAATTTCTATGTAAAACTACCCATTCTATCATATCTCACAAATATGTGGGTAGGGCATTTTTTTTCTCAAAGACACAATAACTGCATCAAAATCCCAACTCTAGCATCTTTTAATCTATAGCACATTTTTAGGCAAATTTCATCACAGTTATGCAAGAAAATTACTATATAAAGATACAAAAGATAATGGCATACAACAATCTCGCAAATCTGTAGGTTAAGAAAATTTAAATGAAAAACATGGGAAAAGTTGCTTATAGTGTTTTAAGTTACAAATCCTACTCTGTATCTTTCTTTCAAACCAATACTTCTTACATTTTAAAAGGCAGTGGTTTGTTACAGTTTGCTGGTAGGTTTTGGCATTCTTTTTATTGAAAAAAATGGTGTAATATGAATAATGATTTTAGACTGATAGGTCAAAAAACTGAAAAAACATTAACTATTGATACAAGTTACTTATTTTTGGAAGGCAAAGACTAGGATATTTGGGACCAGGTGCTCCAGAAAACCTTTTTACTACACAGAGGTTCTTTGTACAAGCTATTAATCCCTGATAAAAGGAATCTAAGAGATGCAATATCTGAACAGACAAGAGTGACTGTGTAAATTTTAACTTTATACTGCAATTATCATCACAATTTTCAAAGGGCAGTTTTGCTACACAAAAACATTGTCCTTATATTTTTTAATAAATTGAGGTTATATATTTTATGTAAACTACTGATGTTCTTCTAGAAGAATGCTTAAAACACAGCCTGAAGCAAATGGAAGAATGGTATTTCTGCAGAACTGTGTCAGAGAGTTAGAGAACAAGAACAAATACCTTATCAGCATCACTGGTCTGTATTTTGCAGTCTGTAATTAAAAATTTTATTCTTGTAGGTTCAATTTTCTAAGTGTCATTGTTTATGAGTCATACACAAGATTATCAACTTGTTCCACCCTAATCAAGTGTATATTCTCCTATTCACAAACCACTCATAACTGTGCCATAATAATTAAATGCTATCAGATATTATCAAAACTGTAAGATAAGAACCTCCATAACAATGCCATTTTTCAACATAGAATGACATTGGATTTTAAGATACTGTCATTTTTCCTGCATAAGAACATCCAAAAAAAAATATTAATGATCACCTTGCTAAAAATAAATTAAAAGAGCCTGCATGGAAAACTGTTACAGGAGGATGGGTCGATGGGTCTTTTAATTTTGATTCATTTTCTGCTTTTCTGCATCCTATTTTCTCAGATATGGCAAACAACAATAACAAAAAATAAAGCCTAATACATGTAACTTACTTGTGATAAAATGGAAAGTTGATGGTGATAGGCTATTGCATTTCAATTAGCCTCCATGAAGTACTGCTGGGTTTGTCTCCTCTCCCAATCCAGTTCCTTCTCCAGCATGAGATGAGAGGTGTATAAAACATCCAGGTACTGCATCATCACATCAGACAGCAGTGAGCTGACCTGCACTATGTCTGGACATGCCTCTGCATCAGGAGTCAAGCAGCTACAGGAAGAACATTGTCTATTGTTTCTAAAAAAACATTTTCAACCATTGATTTCCTGCCCTGGTATTTATGGAGTTATGCCAGCCAGCACTGCTCTCTCATCCTGCCTGTGACAGCTTGATGATGGGCAGCTTTGGTGTTACCTCACCACAGCACAGCCTCCAGCATAAGCTGGAACAATTATCCTTGACACTGACCCAAACAATACAGGGAACTGTGGCTGTGCACTCCCAGACACACTAAGGAGTGCCTGGGGCCTCCTCCTGGGATGGGGGAGATGGGGCCTGCCTCGTGGGGATTATGCTCTGGTCAAGGTACTGCACCACTGGACAAAGCAGCCGTGAAGGAAAGGAGCATTCTGTCAGGAGGATTTACAGAGAATGCCAGGATCTTCACAGAGACAACACTCTCAGAACAATGCAAAGAAAAAGGAATATCTAGAGTTCACAATCAAAAGGAGCAGTGGATGAAGGTTCCCAAGAGGAGGTAGGCTGAAGACTTGTAACTGCTACCAAGAGAAGGAAGGCTTTTCCTCTGACTACAGAGGAATAATTGCAGAAGATGTATAGCAACCTAGGAACAGGTGAGGAAGAACAAGGCCTAATGGAGCACCCACTAGAGGCAGGTGAGTCTGCATCAAGTGTTCACATGACAATAAGATGCAGTAGCTGACGGTCATTTGAGGCTGGGGGAACAGAGATATTCATCTACGTTATTAACTTGATGAACGTGATGACTGTTGCTTGGATTCAGGACATTGTGGAGATACTACCAAGACTCATCCTGACCCTTGGGCTGTTACTTCTTGCTGCTCATGTGGGCACAAATAACATTATTAGTGCCAACTCTGAACACACTAAAAGTGACCACAGTGCACTGGGGTCAAGTGTGAAGGGCAGGGAACAGAGGGGGTGTTCTGAATTCTATCACTGAGGATAAAAAGCTAAAGTCAGGTGCAGTCCAGCACCTGAACATGTGCAGTCAAAAGCTTTATCAATGAGGATCAGAGGAGCAAACCAACATGGGTGACATTGTGGTAGATGCCTGCTATAAACTACACAAAATCAGAGAGAAAGTCAATGAAGTCTTTGTTGGACAGATGGAAGAAGCTTCATGATTCCAGACACTTATAGTCATTGGGGCCAATTAAAAACCCTGATATCTGCTGATGGGGTAATATGGCTGAGTGTAGCAATCAGGAGATTTCTGAAATCTGTTGATGACAATTTCTTGATGGAGCTGTAAGGCACTTTTCTAGAACTGTTCCTCTCAGACAGCCAAGAAAGAGGTGGGGATGTGAAGATCAACAGCAGCCTCTTGATCTTAGAGGAAACATCAGAGACTGGAGTTCAAAATCCTGAGAGAAGTGAGAAAGTGAGATTGTATGGTTACAACACAGGACTTCAGGAGAGCAGAATTCAGCATGTACAGGGATCTTCCTGGCAAAATCTCACAGAAGGCTGCCATGGAAGGTAAAGCTTGGGAAAGCAAGGTAATCTTCAGGGACATCTCAAAGCACTAGAACAGCCCAATTCTGCATGTGGGAATCAGGGGTGGACTACACAGGAAGAATACAGGTATTGCCCAAAGGGTAGAGTTAGGAAAGCCAAACCTCAACTGAAGCTGAAGAAGTTGAAACTAGCAATGGATGTGGAAGGCAGAGAAAAGGCCAACAAAAGACAGACTACGGAAAATGTGGACCCACTAAGCAACCTAGTGAGAAACGACATGGAAAAGTTTGGGACACTTGGTCCCTCTTTTACTTCTGTTTCCACTGAGACTATTTGGCCATAAGTGTTTCAGATCTCTGAGCCTACCTGTAGAATCTACTAGCATGAGGTATTTCTATGTAGCAGAAAATACAGTGAAAAAGCATTTAAGCCAATTGGATGTAGACAAGCCCATGGAACCAAATGAGAACAGTCTGAGGGTGCTGATTCAATTGGTCAATACTGCCATGTCTAAAAGGATCAAATGGAGATTCCTGTAAATGGATAAAAGCTGAATATCACAGACATATCCAAGAAAAGCAAGAGGGAAGATCCAGGAAGCTGCTAGCCAGTCAGCTTCACCACAGTCTCTGGGAAAAATAGATCAATTTTCTGTGGAAGCAATTTTCAAGCACAAAAATGACAAGAAGGTGACTGGGAACAGTGAGGATGGATTAACCAAACAGCTGTCATACCCAACTAGGATGATTGGTGTCTATGATGAGATTACTGTCTGAGGACAAAGAAAGAGAAAATTATGCTGGGAGTAGCCTTATTTTAGCAAGACTTTTGTTTGACACAATATCCCACAGTATCTAAAGGACTATAAGCTAGGAAGATAATTGGCTGAACCTCCTGGCTCAAAGAGATGCCATCAGTGGTACGAAGTCCAGCTGGTGGCTGGAAGTAGCATTCTCCAAGGACTGATATTGGGTCAGTACTATTTAATGTCTTTATTGATGACCTAGATCATGGGAGAGAATACATTCTCCAAAGGTTTGTGAACAATGAATTGCAGGGAATTGCAGGGATACATGGGGAGGGCAGTAGTCAGAGGGACCTGGACCACCTGTTCTCAGATCTGATTGCTACCTGAATAATGGGAAGGCCTGGCCAGATCCTTCTCAGGGGTGCACAGTGTTAGAGCAAGAGGAAAGAGACATAAGCTAAACCACAGGGAAATCTAGATAGATCCAAAACTTGTTATTACTCTTGCTATTATTTTTAATCACAAAGGTAGACAAACACTACAGAGAGCACAGAAAAGTTGTAGAATCTCCATCCTTCAATGCAAAACTGACACAGACAAAGCCCTGAGCAGTGAGCAGTCACATCTAATTGCATCTGCATCGAGCAGGATGAACTAGAGTCTTCCAGGGGTCCCTTCCAACCTAAAATACTTTAACAGGTCTATGTTAAAGGCACCCGAGGTAGCTGTTTAGTAATGGTAATAATATATTAGATCTATTTTTAAATCCTCAGAATATTTTGTATGCACTGTAGGAAAAGAAAGCTCTAGGGACAGTCCTGCATGTACTAAAAAGTGTCTTAAACCTGTTAACTCCAACAAACCTGATCATTTACTGTGATTTTCTTGTACAGTACCATTGACCTGCTAACACAAACATATAACTCAACACTCCTCTTCAAAGAAAATATCATAGATTAACTTACTATTTCTAAAGCAGTTCTTTCTAAGTAAAACACAAGTGACATGCATAATAGCATTTTTGAAAATGTTTTACAATGCTTGAACTTCTTTATTTTAATATCTTTGTTTAAATTTGCTTAAAAGTGTTGCTTAATTTCACTAATTTTTATAACTTTAAAAATATTTTTTTATTTTCAATTTTGTATTTCTTTTAATGAGGTGCAAGTTTTCACCGTTAAAAATAATTTGCATTGGGATTTTATTTTGTTTTTTTTTATTTTAATTCATTGAAATTGGGCAAAAGTTCCAAGACCAATGGAAGCTAGAAGAGATTTTTAGTAAGTCCTGTATCCATCTCCTGTGCATCTAGAAAGTATGCATGACTCAACACCAAGTAGGTAGATGTTCAACTCGGAAGGAATTTGATGGCTATGATTCCAAAACTTTCTTTAGTAGCGTAAAGATATAAAACTGTATTTTAATAACAATACTAAAGAATAGCAATGATAGCACTAATTAAAAACTTACAGTTGCAACAAGAAGCTTTCAATATTTCTTCAAATCATTATTAAGAATTTTTTTATTTACAACATTCATCTTTGAAATGTGTTCTGTTTTAGTCATTTGAAAATAACTACATCTTTTCTGTTAATGTTTCCTCATCTGTATTATAACTAAAATCTCATTATTACTGCTTTCCTTTCATGTATTTTATTCTTTCTAAAGATCTCAAAAAGCATAGGCAAAAATCTAAACATATCATCTAAGATTTAACCCATAGTAAGAGATAGTATTAAAACCAACATCCCCCTAAAAATAATAGCAAAAAAAACCACTTTACACTTCCCACTGTTAGTAAGATATGTGGAAAAATTCTTGTGAAATGTAAAGATTTAAATATTTTCATTAAAATTAATTTCAGAACCTCTTAAACATAAATGTTAGTTCTATTATCTACTGTTGTTGCCCTCTATCCACAAGATCTTTAAGTAACTGAAACCTTTCTGTACACTAAAACATACTATAAAAACCTTAGTTTATAACCTTACACAAACCTTTATTATAATGTGCTTTTTAGAGACAGAATTGAATATCTGAATGAGAAAGTATAAGCGTTTTTGTACTAAGTGGGATTTTTTTCTAAAATCAAGTGAGCTAACTAAATCTCTAATTCACTCTATATTTTGCCTTACACATTACATTATCTCCAGGAAGATATAAACATAGCTAAGAAATTTGTGATGAGTAAGTGCATCAAGTACAGGCTCATCTTTTCATCCATTACTTTTTTACCTCTGCTGCTGTGCTAAAAGAATTATAAGGTAGGGAAAAACATATTTCCATCAGTCAAATAAACAAAAAAAAAATTTCAACGTGATCATACAATGATCTATAAATAATGTATTCTAATGGGGTTATTTCCTTGACCACAATCTGCATTTGAATATTACTCAGATTCTGGATTTTTATTGGAAAAAACATTATGTGTAGGGAATTAACTACAGCACCGATACTGTTAAATGTAAATTTCAGTACTGAATATAAAGTCTATACTGGCTAAATGAATGCCCTGACTATACTGGTATGAGTTTTCCAGTTCCATGTGTGGATGGAGATAACTCTTTTTAAACTCTTTTTTCAAAAGAGATAGCTCTTTTTCTCTTTAAATCCAAAGATATTTCCTATTCAGAGACAAATACTGGCAGTTGCTAAAGTCTGCAAACTGTCACATTATCTCTGCTGGAAGCATACAAAACAAAAAGATCTTTACAGCAGGATGTCGAAATAATATGAGTAATGACCTCTTAATGGTAAGTGAGACTTTTTCAGAGTACAGTCCTTCTGGCACAGGTTCACACACAGACCCTACAATCTGGAAAAAAAAAATCTAGAGTTTATTGAAGAAAAATATTCCAGTATTTATTTGAGGATCCAATATGGTAAGTGTTGTCCCTTGAAACTATCTGATGAGCATTACATCATCAGCTCTAAGTTGCAGAACAGCTTAGATGCAGACTGTCTCTTCCAGTCAGGTTTCCACATTAGTGTACTGTAGATTAAAGTCCCACAATATTGAACAAGCAATTTTTGCAATTAGAATGGTAAGATAGCAATCCATACCATGATAAAAACTTGTGCTTGTTCACAAGCCACACACATTAGAGTTGAGAACAGTTTATGTGTCAATAAACTGAAATGTAAATTCTCTTGGATCATGAGAACACATGCAGAAATAACTGGGTGGTTGATCTGACAAATGTGAATACTTTAGTTGCCAGGGAGGGCATATTGGTGCTGTAAACTGGTGGGCTCAGACTGGCCATCTGTTAAAGGATGCATCTGCAGCCCAGACATCAGCCTTCTCTCCATGCAGCTCACCCTTTACAACTTCAGGACTAGAGAGAAAGCAATGCAAGCCACAAGTGTTTTATTAATTCACCTAGAAGTAGGCTTATTTCATTAAAAAAAAAATCAACACACCCAATATTTATTTACTCACTACAACATAATTACACACACAATTACCTTTAAAAGGTTGCATATGTGTCATTTACCAGCCAAATTCTTTAAGAGGAAGTACAATGATTAGACTTTAAACTTCTGCTGCACTTCTTCTCACAACACTAGGGGTTTATATTTTGTTCACTTGTCCTTTCCACTCACATTGTCTTTGGACCTACTATCACAAATGAGCTACAGCATTTAGAACTAGTTTACAGTGATGACATTTCAATAAAACAGACTAGAGAACACATAAGTATGGCACCTCACCTCATAGTTCAGATGTCAGAAAGATGTGAATATAACTCCTGCATTTAGAATGATAATGGATATAGTTCTGCTATTAATGTAAGTAAATGAACTTGACTCGTATAATTTTCATCCTCTTAGAACTGCTGCAATGCATTCCTTGTGAGGATGCAACACGGACACTCAACAGACAGCCAAATGATAATACAAAAAAAACATTATAAAGATACATTTTAAAAAATGGAAGAAGGCTGTGGCTTCAGTTTTTACTTCCTTTGTTTAATTTCCTCTGTGCTTTTCATGAACCTGGATGATAACAATTTACACTAGTAGGTGTATTCTGATGTTGGAGTTCAAGTCTTACCAGTAAGTAAAGACCATATCACAGAATGCATTTGATTTTTTTTTCATTCAGAGATAGGGAAAGATACTTGACTTCTTTCATCTGTAAAATCAACTTGAAAACCAACTTGATTACCTTTTTCCTTCAGGTTAGAATTTGGAGCCACTTTTTCTTCATAATTGTACTACTGATATCTTTGGTAAAATGCCTTATTTTGGTGCTCAGAGGTACTTTGTAAATTCAATCAATGATGATGGAGAATATCCGGCTACTATATACAAAATGTAGATTTTTAAAATATATGGGATGAGGTCCCTAGACAAAAGATAAATTACGTGACCTTGACAATAGAAAAATCAGAAAAGAGGTCACAGTGCAGGGAAGTGAGACTGACAGACCCTTCTGATAAAATTATCAAACAAGATACAGATTCTTGGGTCAAACCTAATAAGCAATTTTCTTTGAATCTTGCTGCTGCTGTTACATAACTATGAGTGGATACTGAATATTGTGTTAGAACATAACAATATTTTTGTAATAACACTGTCTGTGAAACTAATTCATTAGATGTCTTTGTGGAAATTTCCTTTTCATGTATTAAAAGTGTCTACTAGAGTAAACATTAATACTGCAACTTATCATATAGATGGCCAGCTCAAAGAGGCAAAGCCCCTATCTTAGTGAAGTTTTAACCATGCTCCTAATCAGAAAAAAAAATCTGAATTCAATTTTAGTCTTTTGTTCTAGGGATAATTTTAATGTACAGAGAGATCGAGTTAAAAATTATTATTTTAAATTACTAAATTATATTAAAACACCAAACTGAGATCAGTCAAGCCAAATTTATGTAACTATGCAAAAAGCTGTGTAGCAGCCACAGAAAGAATAAGCTGAATACAACTGAGAAAGAAACAGAGGCAACCATGACCTGGCCTACAGCATCTTGATTCCTGAAGAACAGGGAAAAATCTTGCCTGATGTCCAGAGCAAACAGCAACCCACCAGCTGGCAACTTGGAAAAATCATACTATGATTTGGACATCATAGAAAGAATACAGTGCTGACAGGGTTATGGTTTTAGCATGGTTTCACACAAATGCACAGTAACGGAAAGTTAATGAAGTAATTTGTTCTGTTTATCCATGCTGAAAGATTTCTTGTTCTAAATGCTTATTTAATCCCTCTTTTTTTTTTAATCAAATGGATTTGTAGCAGAATAGTATTTGCCCTTTCCTTACAGAACAAAAATCTTAGTCAGAAATCTCAAACATTAAGAACATTAGGATGACCAATACATTAAAAAATACTGTCTCCTGCTTAAAAATTACTTTAAATTACTGAAGCAATGTTTATTTAATGTGATCATGAAAGTTTTACAGAGAATATAAATCCCCTACTTATATGATGCTATGCTTTTGTGGCTAATTAGTTCTGTAATTTAGAATTTTAAATAGGATTTTCAAATATTATTTATTTACTTTTCAAGGGATGTAGTAAAATCCATCACCATGTTCTACAGGCTTGCCTCACCATCTGCTAGTTAGAAGTGTGGGTGGGGTACAGTAGTTGTTGACTAGCAAAACAGTTCTGCAGTGGATTTGCATGTTTTGGATCCCCACTGGTGAGGGATGCCTGGTTCTTGTTCCTGTACACTGCCACCCACCAACAGGAGGCTGGTGGGAGCACATACGGTTTGCCTAATTCAGAAGACAACTGTGTATAAACTGTCACTGTCTGGTCAAGACCAGAAAGAATATGTGGAACCAGTCTTACTCACAAGCACTGAGAATTTAAGCATTAGTATGATTTTTTTTTTTTATAAATTGGTAAAGGCAGTACTCATCCTTTAACTTTCAGCTGAAGATAACTCAATTGACTGAAGCCACACAGCAGTACTAATTAAATTTTTAGCAAACAGATGTCTACATCAAAAAATGCATTCAAAACAGAATACAGAAAGGTGGAGCCCCTAAGAGATTATAAAGATTTTAATTTCTATTGCTCCAAGGGCTGAGCTTACTGCCACTAAGCAGCAGTACTGATGCTATTAGACACAGCTACTAGAAGTGGCAGCATTTAATTCTTGCAGCTCACATATTCAAGATAATAGCTCTAGTTTTCATCTAAGTTTGAAAATCACTGATGATTTCCAACTTATATATTCAAGCTGAAAAAGCTTACTCCAGCATCATTATGTTAACTGTAAGAGAGTCCTTCACTAAACAAATGTCCATAGCAAATGCAAGACTAAATTCTTTTAAATGAAAGACATAGAGTAATATCCACAGAATAACCATCCAAATTCTCAGCATCATTTAACAGACAATTTTATAATTGTATCTTAGAAAGGTCAACATACTAGCACTGCTTTTATTCTTAATAATAGAATCCTCTATTACCATGGCCTCAAAATGAGCCACCACTTAATCCAAATAGTTGTTTTTCCTTCTGAACTCCTTTTTACAAAATTAAGCAGCTATTTTAAATACAGAATAAGTTTTCCATACTACACCACATTTATAATTAGGAGTTAAAAAAAAACCAATAATAACCAAATATTGTCAGACAGTGTTACTCATAGAACATCAAACACATTAACACATTTAACCAAATAACCTCTAGATGGCCTTGGAGATAGTTTTGCCATCAAGCTTTCAGTTATAATTTTGCTAACTGATGTTATTTTACCATTGTTTTTCTCCAAGAACACTTTAAACAGATATTTAAATAGACTGTATCTAAGTCTGCTACATTTGCACTACCACATAGCTATATAAAAGATGATTATCCTCACTAGATTAGCTTGTGTTCACATTAGTTATTAGTGGACAGAGTTGCCAAAATTAAGAAAGAAGTCCTAAATTTGGAGAGGGAGGCAAAGAGGAGATGAGGGAATGATGTTTTCAAAACAGCATTAATTTTCTAGAGCCTCTGAAGCTTCTAAAGAATGTTATCAGTATTTTCAGGCTGACTTTACATGGTACACAACCAGTGAAGATTTCCCAAGATGCACAGAACTTTAAAGAGCCACTCATGACTTACCTTGGTGCAGTGCTCACTGGTGCTTCTAACAGGAGTAGGAACACTCTGGTGTATGGCATCCTGCAGGAGGAGGAGCACTTTTAATTGAGGCTTGGTTTCAACTGGACAGTTAGGAATTAATGAAAACAGCAGTGATTCTTCAAGACTGAGTCCTAGAGAAGGTGGTGGTTATAATGAAAGGCTAAACAAAGAATCGTCTGCCAGTGCTGAGGATTTTAACAATGACAGTTACTGCTTTTAGCTTTTAACATAACTTCAATTAATTACTTAAACTTCAATGGAGATTCCAGCAATAGGTATTAGCTATACAAACACTCATGCCTAGAAACCATAACTATTTCAGGAAACAATCCAAGCTGAAAATAGCTGGAAAGTAGCAAAAATCCAATATGCTTATCCCATTCTTCCTTACCTAAGGATATTGATTCTTTTCCACTGTTGGAGACAGGACAGTAGGAGAGAGAGTAGACAACCTTGCCATAAATTATCAATGGGGTTTTTTTTTGTTTCCTTTGGTCCCAAATGCTAAAAGAGTCTCTGCAGCTTCTATTAACTTCAGGTAAGTCAATATCTTTGTTAAAATACCTATATAATAATACTCACAATGGATAGCCTTACTACTTGCTGGCAGGACTCACCGAAGCAAAGCAGAGAAAGGGATTTTCACAATCTTTGTACCTATGACTGCCCCAATTCACTATAAAAATGAAACCTGCTACTCCCTGGCCCAGATAAAAAAGGGATGTATCCAGTAGTGTCTTGAAAGTCTTCAGAGGTAAAGACTACACAACCTTACACTTCCATATTTGACTGTTACAATGAAGAAAAAAAAATCTGCATCTATCAAGCTAGAATTGCTTCAGTTTCAATTAATGTCTATTTACTCAGAAAAGTTCCAAGATGACAAATTTCATTGCAAAAAAAGAGAAAATAGTTGTATTTAGATGCCATTTCTAGGTTTCTACAAACTCAATTTAACCAAACTACTGCAGGATAATATGTGAGTATTTGGAGACTACTGTGAAAAAACCCTACATTTACTCTAGAATCAGTCCTCTGAGTCACGGAAAGAGAGGGGAATAATACAAGGGGAAAAAAGGGGGAAAAAAGAAAAAAAAAAGCACCAGCATAATCCCAAAATAAAAAATAAAAAGGCAGTGGCTGCATGCCACAATTTTTCTCTGGTAGTTTGCTGCAAGCTACAGATACACATTCATTATCATACCTTCATAATTACCACTAAAACCAATGGAAGAAGAA